ATTAGTGGTATATCATTTTTATAAAGCTTTTTTTATACAACGATAGGATGCACCAAGGTCTCTATAGATATGAGAAGACAGTTGAATATAAAATTATTTATTTTATTATTATTAGAAGATAGTTGAATAAAATTATTAATAGTTGAGTAAAATTTAAAAAATCACTAAAATTGTATTTACTTACGGTGTTTTTAATTGAAAGTAAGAGTTTAGAAACTTCTTGCACTTTCTTTCTTCTTTTTGCCTTTCTTTATTTACTGTAGTAACTTATATTTTTACTGTACTAACTTATATCAAATTAGAAAATAAAAAAAGTAGAAACTGTCACAAAATAAAAAATTACAATTTCTTTAGTTATAACTCATCATACAGTCTCAGGGCTAAAAGACGTTTTATAGAGGTTAGTTCTCCATCTTCGGTATCAGATATGCCAAACTTCATGGCATGAATGGTTGTCGTCGCGGCGTACCCAGTGATTAGATGTTCTGATGTTTCCCCATTCTTCCCAAAGAATCTGCATTCGCCGTTGTTTCTTAACTTCATTCTACTGAGGTGTTAAATGAGGAGACAGTGCCACAATCCGAAAAAACATCGTGACAATCCGAAGAATGTTCATAATTAAATCAAGGAAAATCTTTGATTTTTAACACGATTTGACTCGTAAGTCGTCGTAAGTCCAGAGAAATTTTTTCGAGTGTCTTAGACTATGTCTATCCTTTGGTGGGTTGGCACCCAGGTTGGCACCCAGAGTAGGAGGACTTGATTTTCTTTGACAAAAATGTGTTTAGTTTCTCTAGGCATCCTTTGATCAACTTCGAATTGATGGTTACTGAGTTGATGGCTTTTAGGGATGCTGGACTCTCGGATAAGGTTATTCCTCGGTTCCTCTCGATTCCTATAGTTCCTATCTAAGATAAGTTGTACGCATCTTTCGATAGCGTAGATTTCTGCATGAAGGAATTGGCTCGGAGTATTTAGTTTTTGGCCCAAATACGCCTATCTCTGTTGAATTGAAACTTATTTACGCGTGCTGGGAGTAAAAATTTAAGGCCGTGACACACGAGATAGTGGTAATGATTGAAAAAGTAGTAAGTACAACTTACGGCTTAGAAATACGCAGTGACGCGACGCACAGTGATGCCGAAAACGCGAAAAGTGGCAAAAAATAATTTCTCAACTTACTGCTACATTTTTTAAAATTATTTTTGTTAAATGTGGTTTTCTAAGTGTATAAGTGATGTTTGGAATTCAGAAAATTGAATTATGTATACAGTGTGTACTTAAATTGGCTGTAAAAAATAAAAAATGAGTTGTAAAAAATTTACTAATATTATTTTGTCTTCAATAGCATATTAATTTAATACTCTATTCTTTGTAAAGTTTAAAAAATCAAAAAAGTTTGTGTAAACACATTAATAAATATACAGGGTTTTATGTTCAGCCCCTTACAATAGAATTGGCATTTCGTTTTCACTATAATTAATCCTTTTTTCAGAACTAGTTACCAATAAGTATTACTTAAATTCAAAATATTTACATTCATTTCCATAAGAAAAAAAAAAGAAAGTAAATACGTCTGTATATTTTATGTAGTGAGATATTAATGAAAGTAATACCCTTGATTAAGGGTAACACCAAAACATCTAAAAGATTGAGCGCTCTTTTCGCATTAGATGTAAGCAGTTGTTCACTTACAATCATTTAATTTTAGTTATATTTTTAAATGTTCTATAATTTAGAAATATCTGTAATTACCTGTCGTAAAAATATTATACTTAGATGATAATTAGAACTTAGTTACAAGAATTTAATACGCAAGAAAAAGAAACTAAAAATTATCCTAAAGCTTCTAGATAAGATGGATAATATATTTAAGATGGATTTAGCAAATGGATAAAAAAAATAGAATAATTTAATATATAATAAGTTTTTGAGCCTCAGGATGCTGTTCTATTTTACTTGACAGGAGAAGTCTTGGTGATCTCTTACTATATCCGAGAAAATTAGTATCTAGAAGGTGCATGACATTCTTGATGAAAGTTGTTGAATGAATATTGACGCATGATAGACAGATACATTGACACGTCTTTTTAGTTTATATTAACAATAATTATTCAAAATTAATGAGATTTCTTATAATATTAAATTTAATGTCATATAAGCACAAAACTAATAAAAACTTAGGCTTAACAGGGAAAAGCTAGTTAAAATTACACATTAAAAAGTATTTTTAAATTTGAATACTTTGTATATCGAAAATTAAATTGGATAAGAGAAAATATATTACAGTTTCCTTTCTAAAACTAATTAAAAATAACCAACAACAATATTTTACAGCACCTAAGAAACACCCAGTAATATACTGTCATACGTAATTTATTTTGGGAAACTAAACCATGGTTTTCGGGAGAGTTAGGCAACCTAAAGGGTATTTGTGGGCTAATGTTGGTCATTTTTTTGGAGCAATTTGGAGCATTTTGTATTAGCTTACATAAAATGTGATTTTAGATTAAGCAGTTCTTAATTACATCAAGGTCTTTATTGATTTTTTTTATGGTACCAGGGAAGTTAAAACTAGAATTACCAAGAGGAAAAACAGTTGAAAACATTGTACTTTCTCAGAGTACCATCAGTTTTTAACTAATTTATCACCAACGTTAAACGCACTAATTTTATTTAATCAAAATTTAATCAAAATATTTTAGCTTCAGCTAATAATTTTATAAGCTCGAATATTTCTTATCAGGGATTAATCATGGGCCCGTTTTCATTTAAAAATCTTCACGATTCTGAAAATATGGTCTATTAGGAACTATACAAGTGAAATTATAATTTAAAAAAAAATACTTTTGATATTTTGATTTTCTGCCGCTTTTGGGAACTGCTGCATCACTGTGCGACGTGTTTGTGAGCAGTTCATGTTTTTAACAAAAATTCAAAAATATTGATATTTTAAAACAAATTTTGTGACAATGATTCAAATTATTACGTGTAAAGAACTACTTGTTACACGTAAAAAACTATTTTTTGAGCGTAAAAATTATTTTTTTACTTTATTACTTTTTCAACATTTCAAATTACACTTTTTCAAACATGCCCTTCTAATTTCTTAATTTAATAGCTGTTAGAAGTTTCACTTCAAATATGCGCTCATAGTGCACACACAATTTTTCCCCTATAACGGGTGTAAAACATAGTGTACCAAACTTCAGCGGGTGGTACTACAGATAAATCTAAAAGAAAAGATGCTTCCTGAAAAAATTACAAGCATTGAAAGTCTCTACAGCCTTGTCAGCCATCACTTGGAATATATCTTGCATATTTTCAGGAATGCTGAAAAATATTCATCTATTTTATATCTATCTATTTTAGTATCATTTTGCTCTTACTCTTATTTTTTTCTAAGCTAACATATCTTTTTTACATGAAATGGCAATTCAATTGATGATTATTTGCTTGGACAAACTATTGTCCAACTATTGGACAAATCTGGAGGATGAACATCGTGTCTGAATAACCGATTGTCCCTCATAATGGCAGTATTCTTGTTACTTTAGTCATATTGCATCATATATTCTCATCTACATGACACAGTTATTAGTATAATTATTTACTCGTACATGAATCACTGAGTGAGATATCATTAAATAACAATCATTGTTATCACTTATGAATCTCTTTGGAAAAACTTGTATTAGTGACTAATTACAGTAATATATTAATAAAACTATAATTATAATTTCTATCAAAAAATTTATAGAAAATTAAAAGCTAAAATAAAGTCTCAGACTTAATATGTGGAATTACAATCCAATAAAATCGTTATCATATAAGGTCTGTTCTCAGAAGAATCCCTGACTAGTCAGCACGTTTCTCATTGGTTAAAATGCGTAGAAACCTGATTCTTAGTCTGGTTTCTACACATTTCAACCAATAAGAAACGCGCTGACTAGTCAGGGATTCTTCTGAGAACAGGGCCATAACCGGGTGCGTCTCGAAAGTGGCTCACCCCTATAACTTTTTTACTCTATAAGATAAAAAAAGGGATTTGGTATGTTAGTATATGACATAAATTAGGATTGATTGACATACTCAATACTCAATTGTTTTCGGTCACTTCCGGTTTCACCGGAAATGACAACTTTTGATTTTTAAATGGCACCATCGATATTGTTTTACTTTATTCGATAGAAAATGACACTCTGAATAGAATGACATATCATATGTCAACTTTTGACATTTTCGCATAAAATTTATTTGAAATTATAACATGCGGTTCATAACGACAATTTGACTTGAAATACCATGTGTGTGGTATCAAATTATTCGTAAAAAAATGCTTTTACCAAATATGCTAATGAGCCACCCTCGCTCCGTTTGAAAAAATTGAGATATAATTAAAAATACGATATGGGCATCTTTTAACCAGCCAGGACAAGACAATAAAAACATTAAACGATCAAATCTATTTTTCCAAGGCTCCTTGATTAAAAATTGAAGCAATTTGCACTCTAGATTGAAATTTAAAATACGATTTGTTTTTGTCTCTCTATCATATGTCAAAAGTTGACATATGATAGAGTATGTCATGATAATTGAGTATGTCATTCGATTCAGAAAGTCATTTTCTATCGAATAAAGTAAAAAAATACGGAGGGTGCCATTTAAATATCAAAAGCTGTTGTCATTTTCGGTGAAACAGGAAGTGACCGAAAACAATTGAAAACATCAATCAATCCTAATTTATGTCATATACTAACATACCAAATCTCGTTTTTTTATTGAAAAAATAAAAAAGTTATAGGGGTGAGCCACTTTTGAGACGCACCCGGTATAACTATAGCACTTTACGTTAATTGTAAACGTTATTAAACGGAATCCATTTTGTTTATTATATTCATTCACCGATTTCCTCTAAATATTATCGCTAAAAAGATTAACGAAGGACAGAATTGCGTCGATGTTGAATCAACATATTCAAATTACACGGAAATTTTTAGGCTAACACGACGATCTAATCTTATCTTTGGAAGGATTCGCGCTGTTTAGAAATATTGCAGGCGGGCAAACCACCGACGCCGATATTGTGATCGTATAGTGTAATAAACTAATGCAGAAGTCAACATTTGACAGATAGAAATGGGAAAAAGTGCCAGCAAATTAAAGAAAAGAGCCAGCGTACACAGTAAGTCTATTAAAACAATCCCTATATTATAACTTATAAAAGTATAATAAGAGATATAGTAGTCTGTTTTAGTAGTTGTACTTTTATAATTATACTTATTAATGAATACTATTTATTTCAATATATGAGTCGCGATTTGTTAAAAGAATCAGGGAACATAAATTTTGAAAAAAAGTCCTTCGGCATCATTCACTGACTGATATAAATATTTTTATGAAACTCCCAATATTCTTCGCGCTTTAATAATATTATGAAATCAGGACCTCTATGATCAGGACAGGGGCCCTTTTAATAAGAAACTGTATAGCGTGACTAATATAGAATTGAGAAAAAAAATAAAAACGCAAAAATGACTGAATGGTGACTGATGCCCAATTAACAAATCACGATTCATATAGTCTAACCAAAAACAGGATCCCTGACAATGACAGCTGTGTCTATCATTTTAATTCACAGGCAAATTTTGTATTTTCTGTCATCTTTGGGATTTCGTCCGTCAAAATTTTTGTCGGACAGACCATAGTATTAGTATAGAAAATTATAATACTGTATGATCGAAAAAAACGGCGTTTGATTTTCAAAAACATTCAAAAAATTGGCTTGGAAATGAACGTTGATGACATTCTACATATAATATGAAACATTTACATATAAAATGACAGCAATCTACATTTCATAGCCATCGCTGAAGCCTTTTTTTGTCAATCATATTGTATTTGTACTAGTACCTATATTTTTATTATGAGTTTTCCTATTGCTTGAAGTAGAATTAGTTTTGTATTAATTCTCAATATTACAATAACGCTCAAAATTACACGATATTTCTCTTAAAGTTAGACTGTTATGACTTTTAAATAGTAATATAATAATAATAATAATAATAAAGGACTTTATTTGTATAACTGTGCCATAAACAATAATAGAAGAAAGAAAAAAAAAGTAGTGTTCAGTTGAGCAGATTAGATATCTGCCCTCTGTTCAACTAACCCACAGAGAAGAAAATATTTGTTAACAATAATAAAAATTAATGAAACTAAATCTTAAGTAAATCTACAAATATGTGACCTTAAAAGTGCATAAACAGTATAAAAATAAAGTTATTTACGGCATGAAATATAATAAAATTTATATAGAAGAGAAATATATGAACAAAAATACAAAATAATACAAGCAAACTTAACATTGAACATGCTCATTATAATTATAATCCATTTATTTATGCTGTCCCACCATGTGCTGAAGAACAATTCTCTTAAATGTAGCACTAGACATCCTGTTAATATTTTCGGAGAAGTCGTTTAAATATTTTGCGATTAAATATGAAAAGGATCGTTCATACAAAGTAGTATTGTGACTAGGAATTGTTAGCCTTCCCTTAAATCTAGTGTTAATATTATGAATGTCTGTGCGAAACCGAATTTTCTCGTAAAGATATGGTGATGACTTGTTTATTAAAATTTTTTGGAACAGACAAAGCAGATGAAGGTGGCGCCGCTCGTTCATCAATAACCATCCTGAATGCTTATATGCTTGACTAATATGGTCATATTTCCGGATCCCAAAAATTATATTATATGGGTGCAAATGCAAGTATTGCTTATATCATTATATACTACAAATTAGTCTAATAATTAGTCTTGGGCAGGTCCTGATACAGAAATTTATTTCAGCGGAGGGAGGGCCAAATAATATAGAATATGCGCCTTAATATGCTTTTTAAACCAGTGTGCGCCAAGATCAATACCAAGACTGGACCCTGCAAGAACAAGGCCAAGACCAAGGAAGACTATGATCAAGAGAGTCTTGGTCTTGGTATTGCATTTGCTCATGCATTGATTAAAAATTAAGTCTAAAGGTACATTTAGGCTGAGAGCGTCGAGCGACGCGTCGCGTCGCATTTGCGTCGCGTCCGCCCCATTGAACTCGAACCCCGACGCACAGCGGACGCTAGCGCAACGCCAAACGCGACGCTGTCTGCCTGAACGGTCTAATTTAAGTTAAGTGAATTGGTTCCATTTCGACACGCGGACGCGACGCAAATGCGACGCGACGCTCGACGCTCGACGCTCTCAGCCTGAATGTACCTTAAGACGAAGACCGCCAAACCAAGACCAATCTCGCTCATCAGTACTTTTAAGGAGAACGTTAAATCGAAAAATTTTGTATAAAATACCCCTGTTAGTTTTTTAAAGTGAAATATGTTTCTGATTTTTTCCCCTTACCCCTCCTTAGCCCTTCTTTATTTACACACTGTATATATCTACTATTAAAAGCAAAAAATAAATTTTAAAAAAGTCAAAATGTTGTCAAGAAAAATTTTGTATAAAATACCCCTGTTAGTTTCTTAAAGTGAAATATGTTTCTGATTTTTTCCCCTTACCCCTCCTTAGCCCTTCTTTATTCACACACTGTATATATCTACTATTAAAAGCAAAAAATAAATTTTAAAAAAGTCAAACTACGCACAGCAAGTTAACTGGACAACATTTTAAATCACTTGACATATAATTTTATTCTTAAGTGTTTGTTTTAAAATGATGTCAATCTAAAGAGTCTGCTCAGATCCAGGCATTGCTTATATAAAAAAAACAGAAAGTTTTAATTCATATTGGTGTACTATTACTACCAAAAATTATTTTTTATTTTTAGTTTAGAAATAAACGTATGTTAAAATTATGCCGTTATATTAAAATAAGAAAATATGAAATTAAAAACATGTTACGTCCATATTCATAATTTCCTCTTTTGTATGCTAAAAAATTGTTTTTCGCGTGAGAAATAATATATTATAGCGTATTCTCACGGAAGAGTTTTAAAAAATATTTATAGAAGAAAAAATAATAATAATTAGATATTAAACATTTTGCAATTTACTAATTGTAGCATTGTATATACTTTTTACACTAAATACTCTAATAAACTTGAACATTATCTAATTGTTGTAATTTTAATTATAAATCTACTTTTGAATTAATTAAGGTAGATTTTCGAATAAAATATGAAACCATTAGAAAAGCACCAAAGGCAAACAAGACAAAAATCAAATACAAAAAAATAAAAACACGTGGATTAATTAACGGAATTTTAACAAGATGAAAGAAAACTTCAAACTTGAAAGTATTTTCTTTTAATTTTCCAATATTACCATTAAAAAATATATAAAAAGCTATCCTTTCTTAATTTTCATCAAAATATATTCATAAATATCTAATTAAAAAAACTGAATATTAAGTTTTTAAAGAATTTTCATAAAAAAACATATTTATAAATAACTCAATTAAAAAACACCGAAAATAAAGAGAATATTTAATATATAACTTTTTCAAAGGAGTTTCATGTTAAGTTTCCAGTTTCTGAGTATATCTCTTTTCATAACTTTAAGTAAATCGTATGAACAATGACAGAGAATATTTAAATGACATTTTTGTTAATACACTATAACCTTTGGTATAACAATAACATTATAATTTAAAATATAACATATCATTTATAATATCTTATACCATTCGGCATGCTATTAATCTAACTCGCATTTTATCAATACTAAAATGTCATAATTTATAACCAAGTCGGACATATTTGAAATGTACAGGGTGGCCAGCTAAGAATGGACGCATGAAAAAACATTCTAATAAGTAAATCGGCTAAGAAAAATCGTTGGAAATTATTTTCAAGTTCGGGAAATATCAGCTAAGGGATGCAAATGCTATGTCTAATCAGAAAAGCTTTTTCATCAAAAATATGCACGTGAAGAGGTATTTTAAATATTGCTATTCTAATTGGCGATTCAACAGACGGTATGTAAACGTATATGTTCAATGTCATCGACCCTTATTTCCAAGCTAACTTGGTTAATTTTTTTTGATCATACGGTATTTATACCCCAATCGCAAGCGAAACCTTGGGTCGGTGTTTACATCCATAGCATGATACAAGGAGGGTTGATGCATCCATAGGAGGTGAATCACTATGGCGATGGCGAGAGAGAGCTATGAAGAGCGGATTCATCGTAAACAAAGTAGGCTCCGTCCAGATTAGCTAGAATAGCAAAAAGAAGACGTCAACTTATAGTTATTTTTTATATAAGACGATAAAATGGTATTTTATCGCCGATCGAAAAGATTAATTTATTATTATTAATTTCGGGAGTTATAATTAATATTTTTTTTCATAGCGAGTTAGGTTTTAAAAAAGATTCAGAAATTATTATTTCAAGGAATTACGAGCAGAAAAAATATTGTGCTGGGTTGGCGTTGATTTCTATGTAATTTGACAAATAAATAAAGCTATCTCTTTAGTTGTCAGTTTTGAGTCAATATTGTTAATTCTCTTTCGTGTCGATTGCTGATTGAATTTGAGCCAGAAATGGCTCAAAACGAAATAAATAAATTACCAACATATATTCAGGCTGAGGCGACAAACGCCATATCCAAACTACTTCCGTTTAAATCCCGAATAACTTATGAAAAGGAATACAAAAATTCTCAAAAATGGAAGCAATTAAAAACGCGCGAGAAGAAACGAAGTTTTTAACCTATCCTCGCTGTTAAAGTATCATTTAATCTACTCTTGCGGTTAAAGTACTGTTTTATCTACTATTTTTGATAGATATAAGGCAATTTTAACAGTTGCTATGGAAAAAAAAAAATTTCTATTTATAGTAGTATCAATACAAGGAATACTAATATCTAGTTGCACTTATTTCCATATTTTTACTAGCCTTCATCTTAGTTGAAAGAAGTGTGTCAAATGTCACGTCTACAGGAAGCGAAACAAAAAATGCATTACCCATATAGTTTAAAGAAATCAATTAGCTGTCTAGCGTAGAAATTCTGATCACATGTGGTGCATATACATTTCTGTCTACTGTAATTCTATAACATATTTCTATGACGTCTATACGTGTATCCTGTTACTCCTAATTTTATTTCATTGTCGTATGTAGAAATAACTTAATTGATTACCATTAATTTATTATTATGCCAATGTCTAATTGTAAT